GGGGGGGCAACAACGAGACGGGAGGACGGACTCTTACCGGTCGGGCCTTCACCTCCGCCATGCCGGATCGAGCGGCCAAAACGGCCTCCGCAAATGTCTTGTTGCCAAGGTTACCGAGCTACTCGGAAGCTATCGGCCCTTGCTGCGGTTTATCTGGAGGCCCCGTCTCCACGGTTACCAGGCGAGACTCGGAAGGTATCGCGAGCATGTGGATACCCGGATGTCCCGTTGCCAAGGCTCCCACGCATCACCCCGTAGCTCCTCCCATGTGATGAGACAATTGAGGTCACGGCCTCGCAAGGCTCGTCGGGATTGAGAACGGGTGATGTAACTGAGGGAGGGGAAGCGCCGCTTTTCCGAGTCTCATAGTCTTTCTCTCCCCCCCCCATTGGTCTCGCCCAAGGAGCCAATGCGCGACTCGAGTAGAATGAGGGAAAATGGACCGTACCATTTTTTTTTGGGGGGGGGAGGCTGAGAAATCATCGAAAATGAGACAGAACGATTGGGCTCCTCGCCCTTGCTGCACTTTGTATTATTCCTGAATGAGAATCAATCTTCCCTATTGACAGGGTTGATTGACTGTGTGTCCTGAAGTCCTATCCGATTTTACTAGTGCAGGATAAACCCAGCTGAGACACAGGACTTGCCAATTTGCAAAAGGGGCCTGGAGCTCTCTTGGAATTATAACTGATCTCCATATTATATACATCAGTTCCCCTAGATGAAAATATGTGGCCGGGTATGAGCTTTCCTAGTCACTACTGACAAAGTGAGCAGACACTCACAAAAGCTCATCCCCTGCCACGTATTTTGTTAAGGTCTTTAAGGTGCTACTGGACTCTTGCTCTTTTCTTCTGCTACCCATCTAGATGAAAATAGTAGCTTTGGGAGGATGGAGTTTATAGCTACACCCCCCACATCTAGGATTTTCAACTCACCACTTGTAACCCTAAACAGCTGGAAGAAAAACTAGGAAAACATAAGTTAGGCAAGGACACCACCTATCAACCAAAGTGAGACTGACCCCTGAATCAACATGCACAAGCTTGAATTTACATGATAATAAAGTGTCCCTATATGAAAAGCAATATTCTCTGGTTGACTGGTTTCTCCCCAAGAAATCCATCACCTTTGCACAACAGAAGTGCACTTAGATCTCAAGTGTTGCAATATGCGACCTCAGGGGCTCGGGTAAAAACAGATGGCCGCAGTTTTCAGCTAAGCTGCCTTTGTGATCCAGACAGATGAAAAGGGGGGGAAAGCATGGTTTCTATGGAAACCGTCCCCAACTGTGTTGAAAGCATTTGTCGAGGCTATTTGCTAAAGGCGGATATTAAGGTGCATGCAACCATTCCTTAAAGTATTGATGAACGTTTGGCCAAGTTTTGACTGGGTACCCTGAATGTTGGCTCTTAATCTGTTGCTAAGCCCAGGAGCAGTTAGAAACCAATTCAGAATGTCAGCTGTAAAGGGAAAAGGTGCTTCAGCCAGAGCAGGCAAAGTCAGTGGAGGAGCAAAGCGGGAAGGGGGGGGGAGGATTGGGCCAAAATGAAAGACTGGTACTTCCAGTATCAAAGATGGGAGAAACTGAGAGCTGAGATTTACACATAGCTTTCTCAGCCTCAGCATGAAGAGTTACAAAGTCCAGTTTCTACTTTCCTGAAGGCCGGCTGAACCCCGGCTCATTCTGCCTGCCGGACACCCAAGACTGCACTCTGAATGGTCACAAGGAAGAAAAACACACTGTCTGATATGAGTGTGACTCTGGGGCCTGTGGCTGTCTAACTGGATGGAGCCAGAACACTGTTGGGCATTTTAAAACTAAAATGCCAACAGCACATCCCGACTTCCGAGAGAGGCATCCGACGCGGGAGCAAGGCGGGCAAGCGTGGAATGCCGGCTCCAGAGTTGGAAATTACTTCAAGCAAACACAAGCAACTAATGAAATAACAAAATAAAAGTTTATTAGAATTAGGAACGCTTTCTCTCCCTCTGTTTAGCCTTAACACGGAACAGTCCAGCAGTTACAATGAAGTCTAAGAACAGTTATTTCCAAAGCACGAGGTGCTCTCTAGATGGAAATAGATATATATATATAAGACGATCATGAGTCTTCTGGTCAGTCCGCCCAGTTCCGATTGTCTTACCACCCCCAAGTGCTGGATGATAGGATTCTGTACACGGAAAAAGTTTTTTCCCCCTGAAGAACATTGCTCTCGTCTCGCGCAAAAACTTGATTTCCTAATACAGCAGTTGCACTAAAACATTTCAGGGTTAAATGGTTCTGGAACAAAAGAAAATTAAGACTGTCTTATACATACACTACAGAAAACCAAAAACAGCTGCAAGTGAATTAAGTGGAAGGGGAAAGGGAGTCGCTAAACAGACCGGTGATCAAGCTCCGCTCTCCTGTTGTGTGGCTAGAGACTATTTCTTTCCCAAGAAGCCCATGATAAAGGTCAACACAATCCATCATTTTGCATATTGCACCAACCAAAAAAAATGCTCAAGTCGCATCTTCATTGCCAGGTTATTTTGCTTTCGAGAAGGGGGGCCCCGCTGGGAAAGGACAGAGAAGAGACTGACGGGCGAGCTGCTGCGAGATCTCCCAATTAAGCAACTCACTCCGAAAGCCCCACAGAGTTTTAGAAAAAGCTTTCCCAAAATTTAGATGGTATGATCTTCAGGAGCGGAAGATAAAGTAGCATATTGATATACATTTCTGGGTCTTTTTTTAGTCGGGGTGGGAGAAGAACGGCAAGAGCAAGGTGTTTGGAAGCAAGAAAAAAATAATTATCCAGGGAGGGGAAAGAAATGCTGAAAAGCATGAAAAACATTCATCCGATTCACACACCCACACAACATGGCCACCTGTTCCATCAAACCAGTCCTAGGAGAAGATGCGGGAGAGTCTTATAAATAGTACGCTGAAAATTATCAGACTGGAAAGCTTTCAGTCTCGGATGGCAGCGTGCAAAAGGCATCGTGAAGCGCACGGCAGAATACTCGCGGGAGAATTGTCCGAGTGGCGGGTGCCCCCGTGCTCGGCCAAGCAGAATCCTTTGAAGATTCACAGCCCCCGATGAAGGCCGCCACGATTTCTTCTGGCACAGCCGAAGGGAGCACTGAATGCTCTTGCTGCGCAATTGGGGGGGGGGG